TACAAAAATGTACGAAAATGGCTCGATGACTGGTTTGCCTCAAAAGAGCAACAGTTTTTTGGCGTGGCATCCACAAATTGTCAGGTAGGAAAAATGAATAGCTAGCGATGGGCAATACTTCGAATAAAATATTTTTTATCATTTTCATACAATAAATGTGTATTTTCTATACAAAAATTCCGGTTTCATATTTACATATCTGGTAACTGTTTACACGGTCGAGTGGAAAATTATAACTAACAGTTTTATTATTATTACTTTGAGTTTGCCAGGAATTTATTTAACAAATTTATTATATATCTTTGTAGTACCTTCCTTAAATTCATTAATTAATAATTAAGTCGGTCGTTGAGGGAATACTGCAAAAAAACTTAAATTTTATGCTACACCCTGATGGAAAAAATTTGCTGAAAATGCAATGAAATCGTCGAAATGAGAAATGAAAGTTCCTGAAAAGTTGCTGAAAATATTTTATCATAAATCATAATTTTCATCATGAATTGTAGTGAAAAGTGTGGAAAGCAATGAATTTTTAATGAATATTGATGAAAAGTAATGAAAAAAATATTCAAATATTTAATAAAATATTTAATGAAATGTACTGAATTATTCAATGAAAACTGAGTAAACTAAAAATGAAATATTAATGACATAAGAAGCTAGCACGGATGTCTTAGTGCTATTAAATACTAATATAATTTTAATATTAATATGATTGTGGGAGGATAAAAATGTCCAGTATGTCAAACGCACATATCGAAATTTTCTCTTCGACTAACGTACGCGGAGAATCAACCTTCCATACTTAGACCGATCCTTGAGTCCCAATTTTAAATATATATTTTAATTAAAATCCCAAACCCCCATTAAACCGACGACTCAAATAGATTCCTTTTTTATATATGTTGCGAAAAAACTGCCTCCGCCAGGACTCGAACCTGGAACCTCCCCACTTTCCGGACGGGACGCCTTTCCATTCGGCCATCGAGGCTTCGACAGTAATTTCGCAACACAATGTTTATAAATTCTCTAAGATGATCTCATCTTAGAGAATTTATAAACATTGTGTTGCGAAATTACTGTCGAAGCCTCGATGGCCGAATGGAAAGGCGTCCCGTCCGGAAAGTGGGGAGGTTCCAGGTTCGAGTCCTGGCGGAGGCAGTTTTTTCGCAACATATATAAAAAAGGAATCTATTTGAGTCGTCGGTTTAATGGGGGTTTGGGATTTTAATTAAAATATATATTTAAAATTGGGACTCAAGGATCGGTCTAAGTATGGAAGGTTGATTCTCCGCGTACGTTAGTCGAAGAGAAAATTTCGATATGTGCGTTTGACATACTGGACATTTTTATCCTCCCACAATCATATTAATATTAAAATTATATTAGAAACATCTTAGAAAACTGAATAAATTGTATTGAAACTTTGCTGAAATATTGATGAAAAAAATTCTTAAAAACATTCTCCGTAATTTTGAAAATTTTTCTAAATTGCGCTGAAACTTGATGAAAGAATTACAATTTATAATAAATTGTAAATAAGTATTTAATGTATCTCATTTATTGATCAATGAAAAACTTCGTGAAAAGTTTTGACTAAGTAACGAAATTGTGCTGAATTTCGCCGATTATTGATGATAATTGACTAATGTATTAAAATGAAATTTTTTTATTTTTCTACATGTTAGAATATGAAAATTCTCTTATTGAAATGCCGATGAAAATTATTGAAATATATTGAACTTTACTGAAATTATATGGAAATCTGATTTCTTCATTATGTTTCAAGATTAATTCATACGAATGTTAAATTGTATGTAATATTTCATTTAGAGCAATAGTTTGCATGTAATATTTACTTGTAGACTAAAAGATATATGAAATTTAATATTATTTATAAAGATAGTCTATTTAATTAGATGTATGTGTGTCTTTAAAAAAATTATTACAAATTTAAAGAAGTATTATACTCTTATTGTAGTAAAAATGTCTATATTTATTATAATACAAGTACATGAGACACATAAACATAAATATATATGTATATAAATATAAATTTTTGCCTTTCATCTCCCAAACATTCGTATGGACCAGTACTAACACAACAATGATAAATAATACCTATACAGCACAAAACATTGAAAGAACGTTGATGCAACATTGAAAATAGAAGTGCGGATGTTTTTTGCATGAAATTTATGTTGATTTTTCAACATTGATAACCAGATACAGCTGCAATGTTGAATATATGTTGAACAAAAACTACAATATTTTGCAATGTTATAACTATATTTGAGGAACAATGAAAATTATACTATTGATATATAAAAATAATAATAATAATAAAATAAATTATTCTTAAATTTTATTATATTAATCATATGTATTATTCATATTATACCTTCATATTATATTTATACATATGTATTATTCATATTACAATATACCATAATCATATATATTTTTCTTATTGTTTATATATAACATTGAAATGCGTTTAAGCAATTTTGCGCAAACCATGAAGAATATTTTTTTATTTCAAAATATTCTCTATTATACAGTCTGACCCTTATAGAAATATCATACTAAGAATCATTGATAATTACTTATTTTCAGTATTAAAAATATTGGATAATAAGTAATTATCAATGATTCTTAGTATGATATTTCTATAAGGGGATGCAAGCTGTATCGATAACAAAAAATACATAAAAAACATTAAACTAAAAAGAATGGTCGAAGTCATTTTGGAAATAACCACATAAACTTTAGAGATATTAAATAAAATATATTGGCGAATCAACGCGCGTATTTGCTAGGTACGTTATAATATACTGTGAATACTAAAAGTACACATTATATAAGCATAAACTGTAAGAACATCGTTGGAGTCATTGGCATCATCGCGTGCCGCGCGATCATCAGGTTAGGCAGGCACACCTTTAACAAAGTGAGGCATAGGGTGACCGGACATTAACCGCTTCGGATTTGAAATTATCGAGGGAGGTCGCGAAAGTTTTAGAGTGTGTTTGACAATCTTTCGGTTCCCAGCAGTTATATGAGACATGAAGAAAATTGATTCAACATCTCTTATAGAAATATCATACTAAGAATCATTGATAATTACTTATTATCCAGTATTTTTAATACTGAAAATAAGTAATTATCAATGATTCTTAGTATGATATTTCTATAAGGAATTACTGTGCTGTATGGGACATTTTTCTTTATTTTAAATTTCAATGATTTTCTACTGAATTTTATTGAAACTTATTGAAATTTACTGAAATGTCGCTGATTTTCAATGAATATTGTTGAAATTTACGACGATTTCGTTGATTTTCGATGAATTTTGCTAAAATTATAATGAACGTGGGTCAATTGATTAAGTTTTTCAGCAAAATTTCAACACATTTCATTATGTTTTCAGCAAGTTTCATTATAATTTCAGCAAAATTTTTCCATCGGGGCATTTCTGCCTCGTATCTACCGTTGCTTTCGGACGCACGTCATGATCAATTTCTGTTGCGTTTCTGCTGTTACGTTCGAACGGCACGTCGTGATCGATTTCTGTTGAGTTTCTACTGTCACGTTCGAAAGCACGTCATGATCGATTTCTGCCGCATTTTTTTCGTTAGTATATGATGTAGCATATTGTGTGATCTTCTATATTTCTATGTCATACCGTGACAGTAAATCATGTTCTATTTCTACCGCACTATCGCGTCATTGATATAGAAATTAGGCTATGCGTGGAAGGTAACATATTTTTGCAGTTATATTATTAGGGCAAATGATGATATATTTCTGTTACATTTCTGCCGACACACTTTATGGGCAACACGTTGCAGAGAAAATTAAACTTAATGAGGACACAGTTGCTTAAAATCTGCTACATAACCATGATTCAATCTGCCGGCATACTGCCAGCATGCTACCAGCATTTTGTTTGCTGGGTAAAAGAAAACGGATTTGTTTTCGATTTTTTCGCGGAGTTGCGACATATCAACGTTACCTATGCATTTTTTTAAATCGCTTAATTTGACGCACTTTACTGAGTGAAATGAATTCTTTTCACAAATCTTACTAGAACCATCGTAAAATATCAATGTTTCCTTGCAAATAAAAAAATAAACAAGAGAGATGCACGACATTCTTCCGCGATGTTGTACGATATATGAAAGTTACTTATGCATTTTTATTCTGTTACCGTCAGAAGAGAATAATTTCAAAACATGACTAATGCTCCTTAAAAAAAAAGTACAGATTTCACTCTTTAAAAAAAAAAATAAATACCATAATGTTTCGCAATATTATGCCCATTTAAATTGTGCTAAATTTTGACATGAATTTACCTATACGATAATTTTGTTGATGAATGTACTTAACCAAAGCGTATTACGCTTTCTGTAAGAAGACGATAGAAAAATATTTATTCTTGACGTAACCACTTAACGATAGATTATGATGCACGCCTTTTGTCGTAATTATACGTTGCGACAGCTTTTACGAGACGCCGTTCATCCGCCGGCTCCCGACACACGATCTCCAGAACGCGAGAGGTTGGGTGCCAGGTGCAGAAACGGCCGGACCACCGCACAAAGAGAGATCGCGAACAAATAGAATTCAACCGAAGATCGCTAATCGGCAAGTCGCGGCCGGGGCCGTGCGGGACCGGTAGCTCCGGGAAATTTTAGAGTCGGAGACGAGACGTGTTCGTCGGAAACGAGAGGAAAACAGGGAAAAGAAAAGAGACAAATGACAAGTCGGGTATCCGTGGTCGTAGGCGAATTTTATTAGAGCGGGGCTCCCCCGCCCCGAGATCGGACGCGCTGCACAAAATCGGAGTCGACGGCGCTAATGATAAGTCGTACGCCGTCCGCGAAAATAGACTAGTCGGTAGAGAACCTAGGGCCGCCCCTAGGAGCTGAGGTTTCGCGGCCGCTCCGCGGACGAGACGATAGTACTGGATAATATTAAGAGCAGATAGGAGGTCTTACAGTATGCGGTGGCTCGCCCTTCGTGAGGTTTCCGGTGTTCCAGTTCGCTCCGGTCGCGTACTCCGCTCGGCTCCGCCGGTCCTCTCGCTGGCTCGTCCTCGCTCGCACTCTCTCGCTCTCCTACGCGCTCGCTCCGTGCACTCTCTTGCCACGCTCGTCCTCGGAATCGGTCCTCGGAAAGTTCGTTCGAGTTGTCGCGTCGGCAACCGGTGAGAGATTCATGGATCGGATCTTCCTCGTTCTCTCGATCGCCGATCCACTTCTTTCCCCCGCCGCCCCTCTCGTCTGCTCTCAATCCTTCTTCGATCTCGAATTTTCGACAGCCGTGATTATTATTGCTTCGAGACTTTTCCTCTCGACGATGTATCTCGTGGCCTTGATCCGAGATACGTCGCTGCCTCTGGCCGATCCTCGATCGAACGGTATTGTTTTCCGTCTCAGCTGTGTAGGCTCCCCTGGCCTCTCGCTAAACGTCAAGCTGAAAAGGTAAACAGCGCGACAGCTTTGGAGCTCGGCGTGACGGCGACAATTATCGCGTTGCAGAATATTCGTGAGCGATTGAATATTCCGGCACGCGATAGACGATTCCAGAACATTCTCTATTCGATAGCAATCGAATTTTCGAGAACGGTTCTGGAAGTCGGCGGAAAAGAAAATCGTCAATTAGATTAGGAGCGTAATCACCTGAGCGGTAGCGGTGGTGGTGTAGGCGATGTTCCTCCGTCCCGCGGCGTCCTTGGGTTTCTCCTGCCCGCTGGTCGACCAAAAGGGGAACCTGGGGGCACAAAACTCGATGACCACTCTACCTGCTCCGCAAAACTCTCCGGAATGCTTAACCGGCGGCGAAAGCTGGCGTACGGGAAATAAAACGCGTGCGCAGTCGCGGCAGCGGAAATATTCGCAAAATCGGTGCTCATTACTTTGTGACGGGCGCCTCCACGGCTGCCACGTCACAACGTACAAGTCAAATATCGTTCGTACACAATCGAGAACGATAAGTTTCCTTTACACGATAAAGAACTTTGAGTTTCTCCCATCGTTAATACATCACAAATTATGATACATTTCCAGTGATTTTTTTCATGATAAATTCCAACAAAATGATAGGACACGACAAGTTTCTAAGAATTCTATTATAGTAACGATTTAATATCCTCCTAACAGAGCATGAATATGATAGAAAACGATTTCATTTCGTACGGATTCGATAATGCAAAGGATACGATAGAAAAACAATTACTATAGAGAACAGTTAGATTCTCTGCAAATCCTTTCAATTTCTATTGCTTTCTTTCTTTCTATTTTTTTTAAATCACAGGAACACATTACGGTTTTAATGTGAGCTGTCTTATAAAATAATCTTCTAAATGCAATCGCGCGCTATCACTTTTTTACAACGTCGAGAAAACGAAAGATAACTATCTTTGGGCACACGATTTTGTGTTACACGCCGCTCGCTGTGTCACCTCTACATACGTGTATGCAACCGGCGACACGCTTCGATTCGGTGTCGATTCGGCACACGGATAGGGGAGACCGGGGCAGGTTCGCTAATTTTTTCAAATTTCAATGATAAAATAGTTTGATATATTTAATTGTTCCAATTGGCTATATAATAATGAAAGAGACAACCTTCCTCTACATTTTGATCCTATCGACGATGCTATAAACTGTATAGTTTCGTCTGTAATAATAAAAATATCAACATGCAGTAAGCAGGCATACCTGTGCCGATACCGGGGTAGGTACGCTAGCAGCTCGGGATAGGTCAGCATTACATAAAATACATGTAATTATACACTTTGAAGAATGTCAAATCAATAAAGTATACAATAAAATACCATATACGATACCTTTATGCTTATAATTTTATTTATGCTTAAAAACAAAAAGAAATAATTTTATGTAATATATTTTATATGTGTATATAAAGTATAGAAATATCATACTAAGAATCATTGATTAATTACTTATTTTCAGTATTAAAAGTACAGTATTTAGTAATATCTGTGATTCAAATACAACTTTTAGTACTCAAGTATTTCAACATTTAATGTTACAAATCCTACCTTATGATTGATTTCAATACTTAAATATTAATATGTAATACTTCGTTCAGTGATAAAATACTTACGCAGAACATTGTCAATATTTAAATACTAATATACAGGGTGTTCGGAAAGTACCGGGACGCCCGAATATCAGGAAAAATATAAGTTTTACAAAAAAATGTTTCAGACAAAAGTTGT